CCCGGGGGGGGGGGGGGGGGGGGGGGGGGGGGGGGGGGTGGGCGCGGAATCCCCGCCGCCGGAGCCCCGGCGTGGCGAGCGGACACGCAGCGCGCAGAGTATGGGCTCCAGCGTGGAGCCGGACACCCAGGCGGGAGCAGCCGTGGCAGGTTTTCAGCGGCGCCTCTGCCGTCATTCGGGGCTGTGAAAAATCGATGTCGTCCTCAGGAATGTCGGGGCAAACAGAAGGAATAAAACCAAAACGTCGTTCCCTTTTCTCCGGGACCGCGGCCGGGAAGCCTCCGGGGCCATTTGCTGCCAAGCGATCTCCGGACCTACGGCTTCTCGGGGGCGTGAGGGTGGACGTGGGGTCGGGAGCCTCGTGCGAAAAGGCGGAGGAGGACGAGGAGCCGGGGCCAGCGGGAGGAGCGGGGTGGAAGCACGGCCACGGGGAACGGTGGCTGGGGCCGGGGCGGTCCCGAGCGAGATTTCGGTCCTTTCTGGCGCCGGCATGGTCCCCGCTGCTTCCTCGTCCCGCGTGGGCAGAGCCGGTGGCCGCTGCCGTCCGGGGCCGCGAGGTGGACGAGGAGGGCTGGGCATAGTCGGAGCGGCCCCGACCCGCGTCGGCGGCTCCCCAGGACAGCCTCCCTTCGCCTCCACTCGCTCCCCTCCGGCCTCGGCTGCACCGTGGCTCTAGGTTAGGCCCGCGGAACCCTCATCGGTGCTCCCTAATCCTGAAATAGCCCCCGAGTCTCTACCCGTCCGTGCTCCCTGCGGAGGACCCGGGCTGAGGACAGGGGCCCGGTGTGGGGCGGCTGCCTCATCCCCGCACCGAGCTGCGCACGGAGCTCAATTCTTCCCCTTCTCCAGCAGCCCCCGGCCCGACGGGGCCCCCGGTCCGCAGCCGCCCGGGAGCGCGACCCCGGCAGAAAGGCTCCGGTGGGCAATAACCGAGCTCGGCGCCTGTGCCGCTGCCCGGGGCTGTGGCAGGTTTGGAGGAAGGGACGGTGGTGGCCCCAGCCTTTGTTTCCGGCGCCTGGAGGGTCGATGCTCCCAGTCTGAGCAGGCCCGGTTCCTGCCGGTCTCCGGGGACTGGGGACGGGCTCCGGGGGTAGAGTCGGCCCCTTCCCTGAGGAAGGCTTGTGTTAATGATGCTTTCTCTACCCTTTTCTTCCTGTTCTTTCCTTTTCTTTTTGCCTCTTTTCCTTCCTTCCTTCCTTCCTTCCTTCCTTCCTTCCTTCCTTCCTTCCTTCCTTTCCTTCCTTTCCTTCCTTTCCTTCCTTTCCTTCCTTTCCTTCCTTTCCTTCCTTTCCTTCCTTCCTCCCCCCCTTCCCTCCCCCCCTTCCTTCCTCCCCTTTCTCCCCTCCCTTTCTCCCTTCCCTTCTTTTCCCCTTGTCCGACCACCACCACCGGATCTTGCCGCTCAAACTGAACCCGTTGTGTGTGATTCCTCGCACTTAGAGCCCTGAGGAGCCCGAGGTCTCATTCCCCGCAGTCCTCCGGGCAGGTCCCGTTTGCCTCCGCCACCGAGGTGTGTCACAGCTAGTGGCGGTGTCCCGGGCAGCAGGACACCCATCCAGGCAGGAGTCCCAGCACCGGTGTCTGCTTCCGGCGCACGGGAGGGAAGCGCCAAGCCTCCGCTGGGCCGCTGGCAGTCTGCCTCTCACACCGATGAAGGCAGAGCAGGCGCTTGTCTGCTCGCCACTGCATTTGACATCACGAACTTCACGGGGGTTCATTATGTGTCCTTGCAATGCTAAGAGGTGATTGTAAAGTTTGACAGCAATTTATCAATAGCGAAATAACCAGATTGAAATAAAATAGAATATATATATATATATATATATAAATAACACTGAGGCATTTGGCTTGCCAGCTTACTCAGTACACTTTCAACCCTGCTCAAACAGAGATTTTCTTTATTAGTTTTGTTCCAGAATTGGCATCTGTACTATCTCTATGGCTTGTTTTGACCTTGTCCACCCCTCTGTAATAAAAGTAGTTGAATGAATAGCAACATAAGGGTTAGTTATATTACCTTCTAGTACATGGGATTAATGTGTGTTCATGGGGTATACGCAGTTTGTCTGCTATTCCTCCAAGCGGGTCTGGTATCCCCGCAGATATTTAATTCACTTTGCTAAAGGTGAACAGTGAAAGTCTGCTCAAAAAGGAGTCTCATACTGGGCTTGCCCAAGTGTTCATGTTTTATTTGTGGGATCATAATATCTGCTAAGACTGCTGTAAATTCTAGGAGTAGAATGCTTCTTTCTTTTTCTTTTTCTTTCTTTCTTTCTTTCTTTCTTTCTTTCTTTCTTTCTTTCTTTCTTTCTTTCTTTCTTTCTTTCTTTCTTTCTTTCTTTCTTTTTCTTTCTTTTTCTTTCTTTTTCTTTCTTTCCTTTCTCTCTCTCTCTCTCTCTTTCTCTTTCTCTCTTTCTCTCTTTCTCTCTTTCTCTCTCTCTCTTCCTCTCTCCCTCTCCATCTTTCTTTCTTTCTTTCTTCCTCTCTGTTTTCCTTTCTGTCTTTTCCCCTTCCCCCACTTGATTAATTCAAGGCATCTGGGGAAAAACAAAACAAAACACAACGTGTTTCATTTCATGTATCTTTCTGTGCCTAGACAGAGGCAGTATGTGGGCTGAGTGATCCCCCAGCCTCATTTTCCGCTCGCCTCCGCTGGGCGGGACAGCAGCGGGGCTGCCCTGGAGCTGGTGGCTGCGCTACCGCGGCTTCGGGAGGAGGCTGCCGGACGTGGCTGAGGGGTTCCTTGTGGCCGCTTTCCCAGAGGGGGCCCGATCTGCCTTCAGGCAGGAGGGTCCTCCCCTCCGGTAAAGTGTCATTGCTGCAGTGAGGTCACGGCCCTGCTCCTCCTGGGGAAATCGGACCGGTCTGGGGAGGCGGTTCCCAGCGCCGGGGAGCGCTGGGGCTGCAGGTTCTGCCCTGAGACGTCTGAAACTCTCACACAGCTCTTCTCCTGCCCTTCTCCCCCTCCCCTGTGTGTTTCAGGACATGGAGGCGTGAATCAGCTGGGGGGTGTTTTTGTGAACGGCCGCCCTCTCCCAGATGTTGTTCGTCAGAGGATCGTGGAGCTCGCCCACCAAGGGGTCCGGCCGTGTGACATCTCCCGGCAGCTCCGCGTCAGCCACGGCTGTGTCAGCAAAATACTTGGCAGGTAAAGGGGATGGAAAATCCTTCTGTGTCGGTCAAGAGAAAAGTGTCGAGACCAGAAACCAGAACGAGAGGTTGCAAACAAATGGAGACAGGCGACTGGTCCAGTGAGGGGAGCAACTTCCCAGGCAGTCATGGTTATATGTCAGATAAGGAAAGAAAGAGCCGATATCCGTAGGTCTTCTTAGCTCCTGTTACAGTTTCTTGAGGGTTCTTTTAATGCAAAGTGCAGAATGCCATGAGAATTTGCTGTATATGTAGTGTATGTCCTGCACTTGTCTGCTCTGAACAGGAAAGGAAATCTGGGAGTCATACTCAGCAAAATGTGAAAAAAGTAGAAGTTGTGGAAATTACTTGTTTTGCTTCCTGAGTAGAACTCTTTTTAAACAATATTATCATTATATATTTCATCAGCATTGCGGCATGTACATTTATGCAAGCTATTCTGTAATCTCTTCCGCTGTTCATAATTAAATGTCTTTTTCCAGCCTTCTACTGGATTAAGAGAGCCCAGAACACCATAAATAACTAGTAACTGTCTTGTAGATATTTTGGCTACTTTGGGAGTAGCTGTCTGTTCAGCTAGGAGCTGCTCCAAGCACTATGGCAACAAGATATTAAACCCAGAATTAATATTATTTCCTGATTGCCTTTTAAAATTTGGTGTAGATTCAGGTAAAAAAAATCGCCATGCTTGCTTTTTCACTTTTTGATTTCTCAGTCTTCTGTGGAAACCTAAACCTAATTTGTGTGAATTACCATTTTCAAATGGTTTTGAATCCCAGGTATTCTTACAGACTTGGGCAATTTACATTAAGTGAAATTTTTTTTTACAAAGTGTTTATCATCTGGAAAAGTTAATTACTGACTTGTTTGCTAAGATTTTACAGTTAATGTCACTGTTTAGAATTTTAGTATTTTTATTTTAATTTTTTTTTTTAAATTGCTAACAAATGTGGTTTCCTGGACATAGCATAGCTGCAAAGACAATTAAGGCCTTTTTTTTTGTAGCATCACTGATCAATCAGTGGCCATATTAGTGTTCAGATTTGTCAGAGTCACAGGCCCCTGGTTTTGCAGTCCTTGTTGCTGTTTTCTGCACAACCATCTTACCTCTACTTGCCCAGACTCACGAGCAGTAACTCCACATCCCTGCTCAGTTTCAGAGCCGCACTGTGTAGGCTGCCCTTGACGCTCCTGCTGTCTCCCTCGTGCCTTCCTCTCAGGGATATCCTTCCCTGTAACCTACATGTGCTGCTACTGCGGGAGTTTTGAGAACACAAATGCCTTGACTGGTGTAGAGAAGAAAACTTTCCATGGGCTTTATACTGCTCACCACGGGCTGTTTCACCTGGTTACGGCCCCACATGTGCAGCTAGCACAGGCTCCTGCTCCCTGCCTGGCTGGTGTGGTTTGGCTGGTGATGCTCAGTGTTGCACTGGAATTGTCACCAATTCCCATCAGGACTAAAAAACAGCTTGGAAACAGGCAACTTATTTACCCACCAGACAAAAGTGGGATGGTTTTATTTTAGCAGGTTAGGTCTGCTGTTAGATATATTTGCACTACAGAGCTCAAAGTGAGGTTCCAGAGCTCTGTCATTAAAGTTGTCAGCAATAAATTGGATTTTCATAGCTCATTATTTTCCTAACTAATAATTACAGTGGGTAAAATGTCTCTGTAATTGCATCTCTGTGTGTATGTTTTCTTGTATGTGTGCACGTGTGCGAAAAACAGGAATCTTTATGATAAATCCTTGTATTTGGAATTTTATTTTCAGAATTTTTCAGTACTAGATGCAGCTTTAAAAAAAACATGCAGAGGCAGGTTAACAAGCTGTTTCAGGGCATGTGAAGCTCTTAACCCTCAGAGGAGGGTGCTGTGGTGGTGCCCACTCTACACCTGCCTTTGCAGCTCTCTGAAGCAAAAGGCCCTGACTGATACACATGGAATGATGCTGGCTGCAGTCATCCTTGCCTTTAAAATGGAGATGGGAGTCAGGGATGCTGCAGCCATGCAGCCTGCAGGCTTGTGACTGCTCCCACATTCGTTTCCAGGGTGGAGAGGAGGGGAATGTCCATGACAGTGCAGGGTAAGAAGTGTCCCTATCGTCATGACCTCCCCCTGCATCCAGGGAGGGGGATCTGGGCCCAATCCTGCACCTCCCTTGCAGGGTGAACCTTCCTGTGGGCTTGCCTGTGCCTGGGTGGGCCTCGAGACCATGGGAGCAGGCAGGTGGGCAGAGGTTAAAGAGTTTGGGAGCAGAGGTGTTGCTGCTCTGAAGGCAGCAGAGCTCATTCCCCCCGTGAGCTCATCGCAGGTGCAGTATTGCGATGGCAAGGGCCCTCTTTGGCTTTCCTTCCACGGTGATCAGCCATGGGAGAGCAGTGGCTAATCTGTACAGGCACAGCATCCTACACAGTTGGGAGTGCTCCTCTTGGCCAGTCCTGGACTGCAGGGCACTGACCATGGGCACTGTTGCAAAAAAAAGCAGTGAGAAGTATTTGTGAACTCCATCATTTTGACTAGATCTGAGAAAACTGTGACGTTGTCTGGTAACATTTGTAGTATTGTCTGTTTGTGTTCTACATCCTCCTCAAAGAAGTAGTGCCAGCAACCTCAACCTCAAGGTTCTCAGGCTGGAGGTGCAAGATTTTAGAAGGGCCGTTGTTTTGTCATGTCCTCATGGAGGTGCGAGAGGAACAAAATCTTTCCCCTCTGCCCTGAAGCTCACAGCATTTAGGGGCAGCAGGAGGGTTAATCCATCTTTAACACTCAACACTTGTCATTATTGGTATTGTATAAATGGCTTCTGGAGAATGGTAGGCCTGAGTCAACATTTCCAACAGAGTATCTGAGGACCTGTATGAACAATTTGGTGTCACTCTTTAAAGGAACTTTAGGCTCTGCACACACGGCTCTCCCAGAAACACTGAGGGCAGATAGCCTGGCAAAAATTTGATGAACATTGTTGCATGTTTCAGTGAGGAAGACTTTGGCTGTGCAGACAGTTTGTGCTCTGCTCAGGTTCAAAGATGGAGGAATATTTTTTTTTTTTGTATAATGGTTATGTCAGATAGTTGCAGGGAAAATATATTAATAAGAAGTCTTATCTTCCTGCTTGGGAGTTTTTTTCTGAGCTAGAAATGCAGGCACTGAGCAGTGGGAGATTGTGATTGAGCTGCTGCCAGCACAGCTCGGTGGGCACCTGGTTGAGAGGCTGACGGAGTTGGGGTCTGTTCTGTGTGAAAGGGGCGTGCAGGATTAGGGCAGCTGAAGGTAGGCACAGGGTTTATTTTTCATCTGTTCATGTGAAAATTCACAAGACACAAAAGAAGTTCAGGATTGTGAGAGAGCCTCCTGTGTGAACACCTTGACTACGGAATGGAGGAATACAGTGTCACTCTCGGTCTCCACTCTGGCCCTCAGCGCGTACGACGTGATTTCTGCGCTTACCGGAATGTGCAGTGCTGTGTTGGAGGGGGAGACTTGCAGGGCCCAGGGAACCCGGCTGCCGCGTTTTATGGCAAAGCTACCAGAAGCAGCTGATCTTGTGTGATTCAATGTGAAGAAATCGGTCAGATTCATTTTGGTTTAGGGATCTCGTTCTCCACCTTTTCTGGGGGCATGGCATCAGCAGAGCTGCTGCTGGTGGTGAAGATGCTGCACCCGAGGAAGCGCAGGTGACAGAAATGATCCATGCTTTGGACCCCTCTGGAGCATGAGCAGCTTCCTTTCCCTCAGAATTTGTTATTGAAACTACTGAAAACATAATGATGAAAATAATACATTTTGAAAAATATGAACTATTAAAACCATAATATGCATATTAAAATCAAAAAACAGGAAAAAATATGCTGGTGTATTTATTCCAGAGGTGCAAATAAAATATAATACCTAGCCTTCATTTAACTTTGAATCATAACAATCTGTAGACATTAATGACAGCATTTCTGTAAAAACAGTAATTTGCTACAAAAGAGTCCACTGCAAAAAGTGGTCTTTGGTGTGATTTGTTTCTATTATTGCCAGTACTGCTGATTAATAACACACATTTTCAGTTAATTTTGGATCTCAGCATGCCCTTTAATCTTGTGTTGTTTCTTTTGTCTTGCTATTACAGAAAAATATATATTGTATCCTGAGGCCCAATTCCAATTACTATAAGTTAATCTATTAGGTGATAAAGAACCACACAGGCAGAAAATGTGTATGTGAAAGTGAAGATGTATCTCAGGATTTGCTGGGGTTTGGTTACCTTGAAATGATGTTCTCTGTAAATCTCAGAGCATGTTCTCTGTCTGTGTGTGATAACTGAAGCTTTGTTTTGGATGTTGTCCCAGGTATTATGAAACCGGGAGTATTAAGCCTGGAGTGATTGGAGGATCAAAACCAAAGGTCGCCACACCCAAAGTCGTTGAAAAAATTGCAGAGTACAAACGCCAAAATCCCACCATGTTTGCCTGGGAGATCAGGGACAGACTCCTTGCTGAGCGAGTGTGTGACAACGACACTGTGCCCAGTGTCAGTTCCATTAACAGGTAAAGCTCGGTGTAGTTCTGGGGTGGGATGCTCCGTGGAAGCACTATCACCGTGTCTTTGTCTTTTAGAAGGACTGGATGTTTGGGGCTGTTTGTCAGAAAAGAAGTTTCACCTGTTTCCCTGGGGCACTTGGGCCTGGGGAGCAGCTGTGGGCTTACCTTGGTGGCTGAAGCAGCATAGATAAAGAGGGTTTCCTAGGAGTGGGCAGGTTCTTCTGCCAGCCTTTGCTTCTTTTCCATCCTTTCCCCTGTCTGTGAGTAGGAGAATTTTGCTGGGAATGACCCTATGTGTTTGCTTTGAGCAAAGCCCCTGTTCTGCTCTGGGGGGTGGGGGTTCAGTGGGACATGCTTTGCCCCGGGGGGAAGCTCAGATGGCCATTAAGTAGGGTGGCAGTCATCTGGAAAAGAAAGGAGCCCAAGGCATAGGTCTGAGATACCATTTTGTTGCCTGACACTTGATTGGTGTTGCTGACATTGGCCCAGGCCTGTGTTCAGTGTGAATATCAATAGGGGAATTTGGTTGGTAGTGTCTGAGGGCCTCCACTGTCTGCTTTTTACATTGGGGAACTTATGTGGCCTTGAATTGCTTTTATAAAAATGCCAGGGAATCTCATTTGGAGGCTCAGTCCCGTGTTTGAGTGTTTTGCCGTGGTGTTGCAAGTCAGGGCTGGGCTCGTGGAAGACTCTGTTTGGGGCTCTAACCTCCTGCCTTCTCCATTACACCTTCTGTGCCCGTGGTTCCCTCCTGAGCCAAGTGACTTATAGGGCTGGAAAAACCCAGTCACATACTACGTGACATCTCCAGCCTTGCCAGACCAACAGAGAGAAGAGATGAATACTTGAATAGCAGAGCTTTTGGGCACCCATGGCCCTGGCAAGCAGGGTTTGTTAATTTTCACTCTGTTCCAGGCTTCCTTCTCACCACGCTGGTGAGATGATTTTCACTTGTGCAACTGCATGCAAATTCTTCGAATGCAGCTCACTATAAAATGTCTCATTTGCGTCCAGACGTGAAATAAATTGATGCAATATTCTTTTATTGGCTGTCCCAATCTGATTTGCATTCATGGAGTTGCCGCTTGAGTAGCTGGAGTGGCTTCCCCCACGTTAGCAGAGAGTGCAGTCTCTGCCTTGATGGACTAAATGTCGAGTCATATGTTTGTGCAATTAAAAGAAGGAATGGGTCAGTTCATCTGCAGCCTTTCCTGCTTGGGAGTTCCTGACTTGGAAGCTCCAGAGCACCATGCAGTAACTCCATGGTATGGTGCCTTGAGTTTAAAGAGGGTTTGAGAAGTTTTAGACACCAGGAAAACCAAAGGAAAATATCAAATACCTTAGGAAAGTCTCTGCTTCCACTAATGTCAGCCAGTCATATGAGAAGCATGGCTGTTAGGAGCAGTCCTCTGCTTGTGTAGGAGAACTTCACATGTCCTCCAAAAAACTACCAAAAAAGGCAGTCACAGCTCTAGGTAAAAGGGAGATTTAAGTAACTTCCAGTCATATTTTGAGCCAGTTTCCATGTTCCTCTTGCTGCATCCTTCTATGTTTCCACACTCATAATGCCCACACCCCCACTGCCCTTGTATCAGAAACCCAGCTCGTTATCTGTCACCAAGGTTTTTGGCTGTAAATCTAATTCTTTTTCATGTGCTTGTGATTCTGGCTAAGATCTTTTTTTCTCAAAGGTTTGCAATCCCTTTAAAAGAAATGCATGCAATCTGTTTGAGTCAATCTGTTTACCCAGAGAATTGTTTTTGCCAGCTTAGGAGCTCATTGTGAAAACCCAGACTGAACAATCATATGACAAAGAACCTGGAATTCACATCAAAACACTTAGCTTTAATGCTAAATCCTACATTTCCACCAGTCTGTGGGTTCTATCCTCATATTTAACATTGAGTGTATACTTTGGGGTTTTTCTGGTGGGGAAGGATGCAGGCCCCTGACCACAATGTTCTTGCTCCCCACAGAGGTACAAATCAGGGGCTGCACCAGCTTGAGCCTCGATCTCGCTGAGTGGCTCCTCTCCTGCTGCAGTTGCCATTTCTGCACAGGGGAGGACGGTGGCACCACTCTGTCCCTGTCCCTGTCCCTGTCCCTGTCCCTGTCCCTGTCCCTGTCCCTGTCCCTGTCCCTGTCCCTGTCCCTGTCCCGTCTCCACAGTGCTGGGGGTGTTTGTTGGGGCTGTGCTGCTCCCTCCCAAGATGCTGATGCTGCTCCTGTGGAACATTGGGGTTTATGGGGATGGACTGTGCACAGCTATTATCATTATCAACTATGGAGTGGGCCTTCTAGCAGGCAAGTTTGAGCTGCTGCCTCCATGTAAGAGTGAATAATAATAATTATTAATTAATACCATTAATTTTAATAATAGGCCACTCTTCAATAGCAGAAGCAAGGCTGTGTGATTAAGACTTAATTAATCATTGTGATTAGCTTTGCTCAAATCAGCTGAGAGCTGTCCAGCTGCTTTCAAGTGCTCCAGTCTCTGTTCTTCCAGAGATAAAGATGTTTATGTGTCAGAAGGCCCTGGACACCCTTTTTTCACCATGACAGCCTTGTGCAGTGGGTTGTTTTCACTCTTGACCACGCAGGGTCCTGTCTCTTTGGCTGTGCTCCCCCACCAAAGCTGCTGTCCCAGCTGCTCCTGCCTCTCACACTGGGGTGGCTGTTCTGGGATCTGTTGCTGTAACCCATCTCCTGGTTGTGCCTGACACTCAGCAGCTTCACTCTGGGGCTGGCAGCTGAAAGACAGCTTGTGGACAGACCAGACCGCTGCCAGCCTCCATCAGACTCCTCCAGGGAATGGGAGGGGAAGGGGATGGCAGCGCATCCTTGTCTGGGATGGAGTCAGGTGTCACCAGTGGTGGTCCCTGTGCCTGCCTATGGGGGTCTTACCAGCAAGGAACTGCTGTGTGTTCCTGCAAGTTCACCCCCAAGCCCACTCCCCCTGACAGCTTCCCTTCTCTCCTCTCCTTCAAATTCATGGCAGGCAGGAATGGAAGGGGAGTTTGCCAGGTGCAGAGAGGGGAAATGTTCACTCTGGCATTGCTACTGTAACATAGTGCCTGGGGCTGGGGGATGTGTGATGAACCAAGGGTGTGCTTCCTTCCAGCCTGTTCCAATTCTGCTGCAGCCTGAGGCAGAACTGTGTGATCTCCAGAGGTATTTCTGACCCTATCTTTTGTTTTTTCATAGCACAAGGGCAGATGAGAAATGTGTGTAGCATCTGCCCAGAATCTCCCTTCGTAGCAAGGTACCTTCTATCCTGCATCAGCACACATGCCTTCTGCTTTATCTGTGTCTCTGAATTTTTTCTCATTGACATCACTATCAGTCAGAGCAGTAACTGCACGTACACAGTGATGATAAATGTAGTCATCCAGCTTTTAAGATTAGCATTTATTCCAACATTTTTTTAAAAAATAAAAATTGGCTAAGCCGATCCTTTCCCAAGTTGTCCATGTGAGTGCCATACCTGGAATGCTCTAGGAACAGCCTTGGAAATGTGTCCCAGCACCCTAGAGTGCAGACCACAGCCTGCTGGAGCCTCTGTGCTCAGAAGGTTCCAGCTCCCTGGGGAGATAGTGCTGGCCTGCTGGCTGCTCAGATAGTTATGGATATCTCTTTTCTGGGCAGTGAGGACTGGCTCCTCGAAGCCACCAAAGGACCAAACTCTGAAGCATCCTGAGAACCATCTGGATGCAATCCTGTTCTGTGTGCTCTGGAATGACCTTGCTTGAGCAGGGAGCTTGGACAAGACAGCTCCTGTCAACTGTTGTCTCTTCCAACCTGAACCATTCTGTGACTCCGTGGCTCTGTGCAGTGTCACCATGGTGACTCTAATGGCAGGGGCTGGGGGCACAAATGTGGTCCTGGGTCTACCTGCCTGACTTTGATCTTTCAGTGAATGATGAGGGGAACATAATGCAGAAGGGCTTTTCTTGTATTGATGTGGGTGTCCTGCACTGAAAAAATCGTGTCTAGTGCCTCCTGCCATTGCATGCCCAGTGCTAGCTAAGCAGTCATTTTTGTCCATTACTCACAGGATCATCCGGACCAAGGTGCAGCAGCCACCCAATCAGCAGGTCCCAGCTTCCAGTCACAGCATAGGTAAGGAAAAGTTTTTTTAAAATACATTAAAAAAAATAATGGATTACAAGTATTCTGAAGAACTTTTAATCATTCTTATGGACAGATAATTCTGCATAAAACACTTCAGCACACGTGCTAATGTGCCTTCTTTGTCATTCTCCAAGGGCTGAACATAGTAAATGAATTTTATAAATACTGCTAAAAGGTTTTGAATTTTACTGATTATTATGATAAATAGCTTTCACCATGAGACAGAAAATTGAAATCTAAACCAAAAAAACCCCACTAATAGGGGTCTATAGAATGTCAGATAATTAAAGTAATAAATCAAGAAAGGGATACTTATTCATAACATTTTCTGCATCATTAGTCAGTAAGTAGTTTTGAATGTGTTTTTTCCATCTATCAACCATCCCTTCCATAGTTCTTTGTGCACTTGCAGTCTTGAGTGAAGAGGTAGCAAAACTTTCTGAAACTTTTAATTTAGCCACAGAACAGTGATGCTGCAACCTGAGGGAGGTAATGTTGGTGGAGGGTGACTCAGAGGAGACCCCCAGGCTGCTGAGACACGCTCAACCCTTCTCCCAGCTGACAGTGTCTCTCTGAGGATGCTGGATGCTTCTGTGCTGCAATGCAGCAGGGGTGGAGGGGCTTAGTCTTTTTGTCCCTGTTCCATGACATCTGTCAGGGCACTGGTCAGCCCTTGCTTCACAGGAGGTGGTGGGGTGCCCTAGTTTCTCTCTGCCTTTATACTGTCACCTGTGATATAGTGAAATTCTTGCTACTTCTCTCTTGGTGAGGCTGTGCTGGTACTGGGAGAAAGGGAGTGGAGGTGCAGAGCTGCCTGCACTTTTTCAGCTTGTCAGAGGAGTCATACTGTAGACCCTGTATCCTCAGCCTTTCTCTCCAGAAAATGCCAAAACAATCTTGGGGAAACAACCTTTCTTTATCTCACTGTGGTGGCTTAAGTGCTGGCACTTCTTGAAAAAGTCAAGAACAGGAAGAAAAACATTTTCTCAGGGCTTGGAGTCGATAGAGAAAGCAGGGATTCCTGACATGGGTTTGCTCCATGTGAGTCATGTCTGGGGGTCTTTGGTGTGGTCCCACAGTATATCTGGAGGATACATCCTCCTGAGTGTATCAGGAGGATACCCCATCCTGTCCTTGGGGTCTATGTGGTGATTTCTAGGATGTAGGGATGTGGCAGGACAGGCCCAGCCTGTAAGCTGATGGAGGTGATAATAGTGCTCCCTCCTCTGCCTGCTTCCATGAAGCTTTGGACACCCATAGGGACATCATAAGGACATCATCATAAGGACAGTGTTTGCTGTGCAATCTGACACATCTAGACTAGTGTACGCTGTTGATGGGTGACTGTCCTTGCTGGATACAAACAGTACCCTTTTTGGAGGGCTCTTCCAAAGCAAAATGGATTTAGATCATATTTTGGACAACTTCAGGGTCTTTCAGCCATCCTTCCGTGGGCAACCCCAGCTGTGCAAGGTCTCCACTGGCCAGAGGCTAGTGGCATGGTCTAATAGGATACAGACAGCACAGCTAGTACAGCAAGTGCAGGTTGCTCTGCTCTCAGGAGGTTCCTGTCCTGGGTATCCTCTTGTGGAAACTCCTCTCTCTGCATGACTTCTCAGCAGGCTCTGTCCACCTTGCTGGTGACACTGGTGACACTGGCTGCTGTGTCACTGGGGGGCCTCTGCTGTCCCAAGCCATGAGCTTTTCCACTGAGCCTTGTGTGAGATGGGATTGTCTGACTGCTACAGAAAAGCATCTCCTGTCCCAGCACGCAGACCCAGCCCCTTGAGAGGGGGGCAAGGGCTGACCCTGCCTCTGCTCCCACCCCCTGCACTGGGCTGCTGTGGCATGCTGCTGGATTGGACTGGGCATGGCCAGGGGCTCTTCCTGAGCTGGAGGGGCCACAATGGCCAGCTGAGCCCCAGCCCACCTCCTTCATGCCATGGGGCCAGTGGCTTTTGAGTAAGCTGGTGTATGTGTTGTCCTGCAACTGACTACCTGTCCTTGCCTTGCAGCCTCCACGGGATCGGTCACCCAGGTGTCCTCTGTAACCACTGACTCTGCTGGCTCGTCCTACTCCATCAGTGGGATCCTGGGAATTGCCTCCCCTGGCACGGAGAGCAACAAGCGCAAGCGGGATGAAGGTAGCAGGAGATGTTTCCTGGGAGGGGGAGTGTCTGGCTGCCCTGCCAGAGGGGTGGGTCAGGGCTGGGGCAGATGCTGTGTGTTTGTGATGTGATGGAGCTCGGGACATCCCCTCCAGTGCAGACTGGTTCTATTTCAGCAGGTCTTTGCCAATGTCACAGACAAGCCAGTGATCCAGTGGCCAGGAGCAGGGTCTTGTCCAGGTGTTTCAGGAAGCTATGGCAGTGTGTCAGTTTTGATCCGCACCTTCCTCCGCACTGTGGACCTTTTCCCTCCTGCCAATGAATGGGGGAAGAGACACAATTGTGTTGACTCTTGGCCACCTGAAATAGGAAGTATCTGCAAAGCACAGAAAATTAACTACAGAGACATCTGCTGTGCTGCTTCTCTCAGGACTTTCTTCACCAGGGACATTTGTTAGTCTTGGAGGGTGGAAGTAAGCAGTCTGGTTGTTGGGGTTGGATATTGTTAAAGTGTTGGATATGCTCCTCAGATCCACAGGGTGTATGGTCCTGTTTTGTTCTGCATCCTACTGAAAACAATGTTTTCGAGAGAAAGGCACCTGAGATAGAGTGGAAGGCAAAAGAGGAGAAATGCTGTGTTGGTGTATTTTTAAAATACCTTTAGTTTAGAGCATCTTTTTTCGTTTTGGAAGAACCTACGGAGAGAAACTGAAGCCATGGTTGTGGACACAAGTTGTGTAGCAGGGGGGACACTGGAACTGTAGTGGGGCTTTTTCAGTTGAGGATGCAGAGGGCAGGTGGAGGAGGGGTGCCTGTCCTGCTGAATCAGCCTCTGCCTCTTGCTGAGAAGCATCCTTGTTGCTAAGCTCCTGCTGCTGATGCAGGTCCAGCAGGTCCAGATCCCTGCACTGCCCCCTGTGTCCCTTGCTGCCCAAACCCTCCTGGATGAAGGGGGTGGTGGGTGGGTAGGCTGAAGCCGTAGTGGCACCCCCCAACAATCTGCCCCACATCCCCTGGGGGAAACACAGCTAAAATCAGCAGCCTGATGCCTGAGCTGTATGAACAGGGTCATGTGCATCCTTTAGTAGAAACACATGATCAGGTTGCAGAATAAACCCAGATTTACTGAACTGGGAGAAAAACTGCAAGAGGTTGGGAAGCCAATTTCAGCCACATGGGAGTAAATTTGATGGTGGAAGTATAAAACTCCTTGTGCTCAGGCTCTTGCTAGATATACTGTTGTTACTTAACTCTGTGACTGTATACCTGATATTTTTCCAAATCTAGGTTATAAATGCATATTTAAATATATGCATTAAAGCAGATGGGGTGGAAATTTTGTATTTTATCAGCCAGATCAGGGGACAGGCTGTCTCTATTTACATTACATGTATCCTATGCTGCAGAGCCATTTTTTGGGTGCCAGTGAGCAGACTTTGCTTTAACTGCAGAGAAGAGGATTAAGTGTTTCCTTGAAAAGCAAAAGCAGTTCCAGAAGTAAAGCTGAGAACCTTCTCATCTTTTTCCAGTTCGCATTCAGAAATGAGCATGTGATTGCTAAAGCAACCCCCATCAGTTTGGCAGGATGAGTCATGGGGTTTGAGCTCCTAAGCTGGACAATAATGCTGTCCTCAGCAGGCTATTTCAACTGCTTTTGTAACAGGCTCAGGGCTGCAGGTTTGGAGAGGCAGTCAGGTACTCCAATATCTTTGTCTGTTGTGGGGATTCCTAAGAGCATCCATAACACCCTCTCTATCCTGCTTACTACAAGGTCTGGACAGGTGTGGGTGGGTGCATTGTGCCCGTGCAGGTGTCCCAAGGCTCTGTATCTACTATATGTTCCTCTGATATGAAGAGGAGGAGCATGTCACCTAATTTTGGCCTGGATCATGATGCACAAGCTGCGGAGCTGATTTAACCATTTCCTGACTTTGGAGAGGCTCTCTCTGCAGAGAGACCCTTGCATTATGTCCTTTGCCTGTAGCTGCTGGAAGGTGAGTGCCTGCTGCACACACCTCCTGGAACCATTGGCTGTGCAGTGCTGTCCAGGTGTCCTGGTTGCCCTAGGCCTGGGGGTGAGGTGGGATGGACTTGCCCTTCCAGCTGCACTGAGCACTTGATAGAATTCATTAATCAGTTTTGTTCTACTCACTCTTGACATTTTATTAGCAGATGTCACCAGTATTTAACCCAGTGGGGAGCTTGCTGGGTAGCAACAGGGGCAGACCAAATCAGACAGTCTTTATTGGTTTATATAGCTGAAGGTGTCATTTTTTCCCCTGTTGTAATATGGACTTGAAGCAGATGTGCCTTCGTGGGGGATCAGTTGCTTTCACTTTTGGTTAAAGAACATGCTACTGGAGACTGACATGAGGAGCAGGCTGTCCCGTAATGATGCAGAGAGACGCAGGCAGCTGCTGCAACCTCCAGCAGTGGAGGATGCTGAGCAGCCACCTTGCTGTTCTGCTTGCAAATTGCCTCCTCAGGTGCAGTGGCAGCAAGTTTGTCCAGCCCTGTATCTCAGGAAAAGATTGTAGGTGGGCGACAGCAATGCAGAGTGACCATGATGGGGTGCCTGCTCTAAACGGGGTCTGGTTTAGGGCATCAAGACCCCAGGTCAGAGCAAGTGGAATGCTCCAAATCTGACAGCCAGCATATGTGTAGGGGCTGGTTTCAGTGCACCAGCAACAGCTGACTGGGCGAGTAATGGTGATGTCATGATGGACACCTCACATATTTTGGGAAGTGTTGAGCATCTCCTCTCTGAAAGTCAAAGCTTTCTGAAGTGGGGTTAAACAATCCCTGTCGAGCACTAAGAAGAGGGCAAAGGACAATTTTGTATAAAAGACTGGGGTCAGACGTGTTTTAGGGAAAAAGGAGGTTGCCGGGCCATAAATGCTCTGGAGGATTCTCTGAGGATGATGGGGGAAGAAGGGCCAGTGCATGGCCAGGCAGAGCCCAGTCCTCCTTCTCCCTTCACTCCTCTCTTTGCTAACCCTTGTCTCCATCCTGCAGAGCTGTGCACATGTGGAAGAGACGTCAGAAGGGCTTATGGCCAAGTGTAAGAGAAACAACTGCTGTGTTCATGCCAGCTGAGCAAGCTGCAGGCCTGAGGCATGGGATATGCTTCTCACCTGGATCTTGTGAGCTGGGGCTGTCTCAATGGGAGAGTGACATCCCTCCACCCAAGGACCCCGGCATCTCAAAGAGCCCAGACCTGTGCTCTTTGGGAATCATGTTGTGCCTGCTGGTCCTTTCCAAGAGTGTTCGTAGAGCAAGGGGAGTGTGTGGGGGGTGATGCTGGCACCTACATCCTGGGTGTAGCTCTTTTGCACCTTGTGCGGAGCCCTCTGCTTGCCGGTCTGTAGAGGGCTTGAGCTGCTCAGTCTAGGCATGTCTGTACAAAAATCCTGCCTTCAGTGCAGGCAGCTGCTGTCTGTGCTCTGCTGCAGCTGTGGATACTGCCAGGGCTGGCCTGGGGCTGGAGGAAGAATCTTGTTTCTGTACTCTTGCAGAGAGATGAGACTGGCTGCTGGTGCATTTATGAACAGAGTTGGAAGACTTACAAGAATCTCCATTCTTGTGGCTCCTCCTTGCTTTATGCAAAACACTATTTCCCCTGAGGGGAATAATGCCTTTTTGCAGCAATTGCTGCAGGTTGTGTTGGGGTGTGAGTGCCTGACCTTCCAGAAGTATGGTTGTGCCTTCACTTCTGACACAGAAATGCGCAGAAATCTTCAGTGCTAACAGGTAATAGGAGCAGCAGGTGAACATTAACAGCAGCTACATCAGTCTGAAATCTGCTTGCATACAGTAGTTTCTATGGAAGTTCAGGATGCCTATTGTGTCTCAAACATTACTTGTATATTATTAAAATGGAGACTGCCAATGGCCACAAATGTCACGTGGCCCATCCTGCTATAGCTAAAATCATAGAATATCCTGAGCTGAAAGGGACCCACAAGGATCACCAAAGTCCCACTCCTGGAAAAAAAGAAACACAAAACCAAAACCTCACTCTAGGGTTATCACTGCCCTACCAATGTTAGAGTGTGCAAGCTGGCACTTTTTCAGCTGGTGTCTGCTAATGCACGGGTTGGCACAGAGGGGCATCATGTCACTGCTCAGCCCAGGCGCAGCCATGGTGGCATGGAGGGTAATCTGGTTCCTCAGAAGGACATGGGCTGTGCTGGATCAGTTGGCCTTTGTGCTTCCCTTTTGTAGATACAGCTGATTTGAGCAAAAGCCTCTGTGCAACCAAAAGTGCCTGATCACAAGCTGTCTGTGGCCAGATCTGCCCAAATTCAGCAGGACATCCCCAACTAGGTGCCACCCAGATGCGTCTGCTCCCCACCTGCCCCTCCTTACTGCAGGAGAGATTAGGCAGATTTAGATATGTGCATCAAAGAGCTGCAGAGGTCATACCTCAAAATCAATCTTAACAGAGACTTCACTGCTTCTAAGCAGTGGAGGAGTTTGGGGAATTGAAAGCAGTTTGGCAGGAAACTTCTACTCATACCACGGTTGTTTTGTTTTGTTTTGATTATCACCATCTATAATCCAATATTGCTGTCAGCATCTGGTGTGATGATGTCAGTGCTGGTGCTCTCTTTTCTCAACTGAACTCTGAGAAATGCCTTTAATCACAGATATGTTGTGTTCTCAGGTGTTTAGGTCACAGCCTTCTGTCTGAGAGAATAAGGCTCCAACAGGGGCCAGAACACTACTAGAAATGAGAAGGAAATGAGAAGGATTGCACACAGTGGTGGGTGCCATCCAATGTCTTACAGAACCATCCCATTTTACAGTCACTATGTTTTCAGGGAGGGATGCCCAGGGTAAGGCATGTCTGGGTATCCAAGCAAGTGCTGACCTGTCCATGGAAGCTGGCAGGGATATTTCCAATGACACCAGCACCATGGCCACTGTGGAGATCATCTGGAGATCCTGGAGATCACAGCTTGGCAGTGACAAAGGTGGACAAGAGCTCCCCAAGTCAATGCCACATCTGGGGACAGAGAGGCAGACCACTCAGC